GCCGTGATCCGCTAAAATGTTAAAAATAAATAATTTAAAGTTAAAATTAATTCGATGGTATGAGGTAGCGCGGTATGTAATTAAAAATGGCAACGGGAACGGGAATGGGAATGTGGAAGTGAGGTGGGTAACAGGAGGCCCTTTCTGGTATTTATGAAAATAAAGAAGGGCAATAAACATTTTGTTACTCGCGTTTCAAGAAACACTCCTCGACGCTGCCCTTTTCAGGGGCAAGCTTGTCGAGGCAATCACTCTCTCTCTCTACTCTCTAACGATCCTTTTCTATTCTCTCTCTACTTTCTCTCTAAAGTTCATAAAGGCCAGGACGCGTGGTACATCGATATGACGTGTGCAGGCTGGTACAGGCGGCAGCGACCGGTGAACCCGCCGGATCACAGCCGTCAACGGCAGTCCACAGCCGGTTCTCGGGCGGTCCCCACCTTCTGTGGGCCCCACACTTCCCTGCAGGTCACGCTGTCCCACCCCTTCGCATTGACTCGGCATTTAAAAAGGCCGCTGGATTTATTTAATCCCCTTCTTCTAGTAACTAAACAATAAATAAATGAAAGGGATAACAAGCCATTTCTAGTAATCGACTCAAGATTTGATAAACATGGCTACGAGATCTTTAGGCCAAAATCGGTTTATGTTTTGAAGTGTGTCAAAATACTAAAAATTCAGGATGAATTAGATTACTAACAAAGTTAATGGCAATAAATTGTAATCCCGTCCTACATTGCCCCTCCAATTAACCGGATTTCAATCTAGCACTATATTGCCTTTCCAATTAGTGGGTTTTCAATCCAAATCATTCGATTATCCGATGTCTAAAACAAAATATATTTAAAGCTTGGATTGGGTGGCCGAATTGGTCACTTGCTGGAATCAGGGAATTAATCAGGTTCATAAACCCAGACCCCCAACCAACAAAGCACAGTCCAAGTCAGTCGATCTTGATCCAAATTAGTGATTTTCAAAATCTTGACATGGATTTAGTGTTGTTTAACTATGATTTTTAATGGATTAAAAAGTGGATCCGGTTTCTATGCAGCCAAGCCTATATACTACAAATGCGGGCCTTTTAATAAATCTATTTTTTAGATGGATTTTAAGATTTAATTTTTAAGGACATGGAAGTTCTAACATGGAGATCATGAATATGACAAAAATAAATAAAATTTAAAAATTTAAAATATTAATTCTAGTGAAAAAATATTTGGACCTTTAGTTTCTATTGGTTTTAGATAGTTTCCATTGGTTTAGATGGAACACCTACTTGCATCAATTTTTAAAATGGATACTTTAAACTTTCCGGACCGCATGTGTTGCGGTCCAACCAACATGAAACAATTTTCTTTAAAAGTTGGACTTGGGCTCCAACTCTAGGTCCTAGTTGAACGTGTGATTTCTCCTAAAAAAAATTGGAAATTTGTGAAAAATTAGGGAGATACGGGTGATTCGAAGGACATTTGGCTTGGAACACGCTTGGCTACTATCCCCATAAGAATCGGGCCATTCTGAATCAACCATGGTGTTTTTAAAATTTTGTTGAGAACAATGTTTCAAAAATAAAACTGTACTCCAACTATTAGGGTCTTATTCTGTTTCTCTCTACCTAACTTGGGCAACTCCTCATAAGATCAAGGTTTTTTTTTTTAAAAGGAAAAAATAAACTAAAAATCATAAGGATCTAGTGATTATGAGTTCCTCAAACTAGGAATTGTGGGGAGATTCCAAGTCCTACCATTTTTAAATCACTAGTTAACAATGAATGGGAACAAGGCTTTAGAAAGCGGTAGATTAGATCATAATTGGCTAATCTAGATCAAACAATGGGCGGTTATTTTGGGTCTCTGTTCGCAAATTCCTGTTTATTTATTTATTTATTTCCTAATTCGATGGACTCAAAACGGTTCACCAACTGACGAATCCAAAGCCCAATTTAGGATTTTTAAACACTAGAAGGCAGCCCTACTTTATCTAACATGCACTACCATCAATGTGTATTATGTTGTTTGATAATTCATTCACCACCCATACAATATAGGAAGAAAATGGATCTATATAATACTTCTTTTTTCTTCTTCATTTTTTCTTTTTTTTCATGTTTGGTTGAATTAGGGTTGACAATGGGGCCAATTACCCTGGATTTGACATACTAATGCCGAAGTCATAAAACATGGATCGAGGGTCAAGCTTTAGCCAAACTACGATAGGGCTAGCTCGGATGAAACTATGTTTTTTTATTTTTCTTATTTGAATCTGTTAGGCCTGCCCAAATCAAACCAGGGCCAAGGCTTATCCGACTAGGTCTCAAACATGGCCAAGGCTTATCTGACTAGGTCTCAAACAAAACCAAGTTTGGACCATAGACCCCTCCCAATCTCGACCCCTTCTCATCCTTAGGTCGGATTACAAATTCGATCTATCGGTACCGATCTAATTGAAGGCCGATCCACTCAACCGATCCATACTTGAAAAAAAAAAAAAGTAAAAAACAATGCATGAGATATAAATGTCAAGATTCAAGAGAGCTGAAATGAGCCCCATCTCGAGCTCAAATGAGCCCCATCTCGAGCTCAAATGTGCCCTATCTCTATTTTTATTGTCTTTTTTATGCCCCATTTGTAAAGTACTTCGTTTAGGGGCAGGCAATGATTGATGGTCCAAAGGGTGGTGCTTTACAATGTGTCTCAAGTCCCGATGCTGGTAATAATCCACTTCGGTATGGTAAACGAAGCAAAAGAGGCAGCGATTTAACCGGTACGTGTCCCAAGGAACATTCTTTCTCCTACCATCCCAACTTAACAACCCGTACATTTTAAAATTGAGGAAACTAATCATATTTTTAGGGTTGGGGCATATAATAAAGCTAGGATGGTGGTTATATAGTATACAAAAATTAAAGCACATTTTTGGGAGGCAGCATTTAATAAAGCAAATAACTGGCACACACAATATAAAATAGTACTGAAACAAAAAGCTCAATTTTTTAGTTAGGTTTATAATAAGGGATGGTTGTATATAATGACACCATTTACCTTTCATACAAGTAGGTTGAAATTTGAATGTGTCACAAAATTAAAAAAAAAAAATAATTTAAACTTTGAATTTGGTCAATAAAATAACTGCAGCCATAAATAT